CCGGGACTTGCGGACGGGCTCTCCACGCCCCTCCGTCGCTGGTTTTGGGCAGCTTCTCTTCCCGCCTGGCCTGGGGTCTCAGGGCACCCTGTCTGTCGCACTGGATAGGCCGGCAGGAGGAATGGGTTTAGAAGGGCAGTCTGGCCCCGCGGGGAAGAGTGAGGCTCCCCTGTCTGCCAGGCCTGGGTTCCCGACCCGACACCGCTGCTTGCCGTATGTGGGACCTTGATCCTCTCCGTGCCTGCCTAGTAAGTAGCAATCTTGGTGATAACTGGCTGTCGCTGTGTGGATGGAGGGAGGGGATTGTGGGGCGCAGCAGCGCTCTGCCAAGTCTGCTTCGGGTGCTACAGGGGCTGGGCTTTTGCTGGTACCCAAGCTGGAAAACGGGCAGGCGACATTTAGGTCGTTTGGACTCTTGGTCTCCAGGCATCCTTGCAGCCTTTCCCCCCTTGTACGCAGCTTATGGGGAAGTAAAATTGCATGTCGGTAGTTCTGGGTGTATTATTCCCAGAACTTTTCCAAGGAACTCCGCGTTGAGTGGCCCTGATTTTACTTTACTTACCGGGCGTTTCCTCCTTCCAAATCTGGACACCGTGACCTTTCCTATACCGCTGTCCCTAGATTTATGATCCACCTTTGCTACCTGTAAGCAGCATGGACTTAGGTAGGTTCCTTAACCTCTCTGGAGAAATTAAAGTTTCAGTTTCGGTCTGGGGTGACGTCTCCTGTCTCTGAGCAGACCTGTGGACCTCAGGTGACACTGTGGAGCTCTTGAGTGCCCCGCAGATCTCCCTCTTCCCCGACCAGGGGCTGGAGGAGAGGTGTGGAGGTCAGTGGGCTTCTCCTCTTTGATCCTTTTAGGAAGAATGCCTTTCGTTTGGGCAAGAAATGGGGCAAAGATTGTATGATGTAACCGTGCACAAAGGAAGCAGCTGCAATTAGTCCATTTTGCCCTTGTGGAAAAAAACGAAGGTTCAGGGGGTGGGTGTTTAGAATCCCTACACCAGTCTTTGTTCAGTCTCCACAAAGGCTGTGGTGAAATATGAATATGGTGCTCAAATATCAGTGAAAGTTGACCACTGAATTTATTCTCAGTCTTGGGTCAGTGGTGATAATAGAGAATATTGAATTTTTAGAGTGAGCTACACCAGGGTCAGCCTTTTGTGTGCATTATTGTGATGGGTCCTCAGTCACCTGCGATTTAGGTGCCAGTTTTCCTATTTTACAGATGAGGACCCTCAGAAGGGTTGAGTACCCTTTCCAAGGTTCCATGGCTAACACATTGAAAGAGCTGATTCCACCCAGATCTGCTGGTGGCCACACCTGAACTCTTAACCACCCTCCTGGGTCCCTTGGGTGCTGCTGTTTGGCCAGTAGCTTATTCAGTTTAAGAAACACTTGTTGGGTGCCAGCATGTACCTGACACTTTTGTATGATTTTTTTAAAAAAGGATGATGAAGGTAAACTAAATCTGCGTACAGCTACAATCCTGTGGGATAACAGGCTGGAGCACATACCTGTAATCTCAGCACTTGGGAGGCTGAAGCAGGAGCATCATGAGTTTGAGGCCAGCCTGGGCTGCATAGCGAGACTTTGTCTAAAATTAAATTAAATTAAATTAATAAAGGTCCGTCTGCTGATGGTCATTTAGGTTGTTGCCATGCCTTGGCTGTTGTGAATAATGCTGTAATAAACAAGGTAATACAAATATCTACTTGTGGTACTAATTTCCATTCCTTAGGATGTGTACCTAGAAATGGGATTGCTAGGTCATATAGAATTTCTGTTTTCAATTTTTTGAGGAACCTTCACACTGTTTTCCATAATAGCTCTACCCATTTACATTCCCACCCACAGTAAGTATATAAAGATTCCTTTGTTAGCCAGGTGATCACCAAAACTTTTGCGGGGGGGTGGTACTGGGGATGGAACTTGGGTCCTTCAAAACTTTTTTTTTTAATTATACCATCCTAACAAGTGTGAAGTAATAGCCCACTGTGGTTTTAATGTGCATTTCCCTGATGATAAGTAACTTGAAACTTTTCCTACACTTGCTGCCCATTTGTGTGACTTCTGTGGAGAAACGTCCGTTCGAGTCTGTTAGTCTTTCCATCACTGTAACTAATACCTGAGGTCATCAACTTAGAAAAAGGTTTGTTTGAGCTCCAGGTTTCAGAGGTTCCAGTTTATGATCCACTGGGCACTTCCGGGCCTGTGGCAAGGTCACACGTCATGGGGGTGTTTCCCTCGTGGTTGGCAAGTGAGAAGCAGAGGCAGGGGCTGGGCTGTCACTGTCCCCTTCGAAGGCACCCCAGTCATGACCTGCAGGCCTCCCACCACACTCCCACCACCTTCTGGGTGAAGCAGGCTGGAGACCGAGCCTTCTGGGGACTTTCCAGATGCAAACCTGCTGTCTTTTCAAATTGAGTGGTTTTTGCTATTCAGTTGTGTGGGTTGCTTGTATATTTTGGATATTAACCCTCTGCGAGGTACTAGCTTTGGAAGTATTTTCTCCCATTCCATAAGTTGCTTTTCTTTTTGTTGAGAGTTCTCGTTTTGCTGTGCTGTCTTGGGGAAGGGTGACAGCGGAGTGAACCTGGCCCTCATCCCGTCTTCACTGCATCCGTGCGCTGCTGTCTTCTTCCGCCAGGGGCAGTAGACTCTGCAAGGTGTTCTTGTCTGGGGTCATTGCCAAGGTTGTCCTTGTCCTTTCCGTGGAACAGTAGGGCCAGAGCCTCCTATTCTACCTTCATGCTGATGTGTTTCTTTCTCTTTCTATAATAGTTACGTATTTTTTTGTCGTCATACATCCTAGCTTCAGCCTTCAAGATGAATGTTAGCAAAAGGCAAGACTTAACACTACACGTTGAAGGTAGTGTCTTTTCAGGTGTACTCTGTAAAACTTTTGACTTGTCAATTTGGAAAATGCTTTGCTAATCCACTCTGAAAGGTAATGAGGTCTAAATGTGTGGAGGAGAGAAAATGAAAACTGTTGAGTGTTTCTGTGTGCCTGGCCATCTGTTATCTGCACTGTGGATGGGCTTATCTCTGTTTTAAAGGAACATCTTGGGTCCTAATCTGAAAAATCTGACCCCCCTCCAAATGCGTTGGTGGTGGTGAAAGTAGGGAGACCTGTGATGTGCTGAGACACACATCATGATCGCCGTGGTGCTGAGGGACTGTCCCTTCCTCTTCATTCTCTTCCTCTGCCCTCTCACCCCCAGGTCCACTGGAAGGTAAGGCCATAATGACACTCAGAGTTCAAGCCCACTAGGCCTCAGTTTGCCTCCCAGACACCCCCTCTCTTAGCTGGATTCGTCCTTCCTACCTCCAGAAGTCATCATTTGTGCTCAGAACACAAAACGATTGGCAAAATAGGTGCCTTCTGGTTTTCTAGCTGAGTGGAACCATCCCCAGTGAGCCCTGACAGGTATGCAGAAATGAACCTGCCGCTGGGGCTGCCCAGGGGACTCAGAGGTTGAAACCAGGTAGAAATGAGAATCTGGAGAGGTTTCCCTTTGTTGCTAAAAGGAGTCCCTGATCCATTCCTGAGGAGTGAAACAGGACTTGATTTGTGAGAAATGAGTGTGACCTGGCTCTCCTCGGACTAAGGGTACCACCTTCAGCTAATTCTTTTCCCATGGAGCATTTATTTCCTCCAGCCTTCCACTCAGTTAATACGTATTTAATAAGCACCTTCTGTGTGCCAGATGCCTCTGCCCTAATGAACTTGTCCTGGGGGAGCCAAGCTACTGGCAGAGCACAGACAAAGAAGACAAATGTGAGAGCTGTGTAGTGAATGAACATGGGTAAGCAGCCAGGTAGTAAATATTTTTGGCTTTGTGGGCCATAATCTCTGCTTGCAGAGAGAAAACAGCCAAAGACCATACGTAAATGAACAGGCAAGGCTGGGTTCCAGTAGAACTCTTTTCACAAAGCAGGTGGTGGAGACCATGTTTGCTAACAGTTACTACATAATGCAGGGCTGGAAACCCAAGCACCTGAGTTAAGATCTGAACTGCTAGATAATGGGGATCTCTTGAGGGTGCTTGAACAGGAAAATAAATGGATAGAAGTTTATTTTTATGGGACCCCATAAAACCATCTCAGACAGAAAGGAAGCTTACACCTCAGGTTGCTGCTATCTCTGAGTTGTCTTTGAACTGTGCTAGGCAAACGATGAACCCTTCGTGACCTGCTGGGAATTTAGGGGGAATTCGCGTTGTGATAACCTTTGATAAATAAATCTTCCTCTGTTTCTTGTGCACAGTGAACAGTTCACAAAAGTGTGGATGCTGAATTAGAAGCTTCCTCAGGGCAGGGGCTTTGATTTCTTCTGGAATGATGTGTGGAGTATATTTGACGGCACTGATGGTACAGTGACTCCGGAGCTTAAATAGAGACAACTGCTCACCCTTGTGCTTCATTTAAAACTGCGTCACCTACTGAGCATCATTTAAAAATATCACAGTGCCAGTGATGTGAGTGAAACTGATTTTCTGGTGTCTTTCTGCTCCTCCCAGATGGCAGATGATCAGGGACATGTCGGAGAGCGGGGAGCTGGCGAGTCCCCACGCACAGATGCAGTTGATGCTAAGCCAGACCGGTCCTCGTTCATGTCATCGCTCTTAATGTAAGTTTCCTTGCTTGTTGGGCGAACGGGGAATCCTCAGCCGGGTCAGTCTGCTGTACCTCTTCCCTCTCCACTTCCCCAGGGACATTCAGGGAAGAAGACCCATACTGTGCAAGGCGGGAGGTCTGAACGGGACCCTGCTGGCAGCATGTGCCGGCACTGGGGTGCCCATGTGCACCCTCTCGTCACTAGGGCAAGCCCAGGAGTGGGGGACCCAAGCTTTGGGAGTTTCCTGCTCAGTAACTATGTGGTGTATCTTGCGCGGGGGGGCAGTTGGGAACGGGTGCTGGTCTCATTGCGAGGGATTTGCAGGCAACTTCAGAGCAGAGCCTAGGCTGCTCCTGCCAGGCGGGAGTGAGGCTGACTAAAGGCAGAACCTAAGAGCCAAGGCACAGAAGATATCAGGGTACTCCACACACACACACACACACACACACACACACACACACACACACACACACACACACACACCTGCTCTCAGAGCTGTGCCACTTGTGGAGAGGCACTCCTTCCTATCCACTGGTTCCTGCTTTTTCCTTCTTGAGTTCACTTTAAAAATTCTAAATTTTAGGAAGTAATAATAAAGTCTTGTGTGCCAGCTTGGTGTTGTGCCTCTAGTCCAGATAATCCGAGGAGACAGCTCTGATATCAGTGTTTTAACAGGTCGTGGCAGTGACCCTGGTAGTTAGGTTCCATTACCCACCTGCCCAGTGTGTGACACTGGCCTGAGAAAAAGAATACACTAAGAGACAGGTCTAAGAGAGAGGAAGCAGGTGCCAGGACGACCAATGCCGATAACAACCGACAAAACCCCTGGACAGTCCCAGGCCCTGACTTTCACTGGAAATCATTTGGGGTAAAGACAACAATGTGGTTTCTATGGAAACTAATGTAAACAAGGTTCATAATGGACAAGACAAAGCATTCTCAAATTAGGAAAAGAATAGACAAAAATATATAGTTCTAATTAGAACACTGTCCTTCTAGTCTGAAGGTTTTAGTTGTGGGAACAGAATTTGGGTGTGAGTTACTCTGACCTTGGCAGTAGGCTTCATCCAGACTCACTTCTGTAAACAAGCCGCTTGTGGGGTTCACTCTTCACAGGCTGCTTTGGGCATAATCAATATTAGGGTCCTCTGCAGGTAGGGGAACTGAGGCACCAGAAATAATAGCTTGCTTTTCTGATGATAGTAAATTGTAGAGTTGATGGAGACTCCACAAAGAGTTTGAGCAGCCCTCACTTAAGGGTTCTGTTGTATGTGTTCCATTTAAAGGTAGGGCCACAAGGACATGGTGAACCCACACCATCTGTTAACCTTGATCGCGAATGGGCAGTGAGTGGGACTTCCTGACAGAAACAAGGAGCCATCCAGGGGTCAGAATCATCGGATTTCTGTGTGCAATAGTCCCACCCCCTCCCTTATCTGTGGTTTTGCCTTTAGCGGTCTCAGTTACCTACAGCCAACCATGGTATGAAAATATTAAATAGAAAAGTCAAGAAGTAAAGAAGGTTTTAAATTGCACACCACTTTGAGTGGTGTGGTGAAATCTTGTGCTGTGTTGCTCTGTCCCACCCAGGAAGTGACTCCTCCCTTTGTCTGGTGTGTCTTGGTTAGCACATCCTCGGTTGAGATCTCGCAGAACTTGTATTCAGCTAACTCTTACTATACATAAAAATGACTCCAGAAGCCAAGAGCAATAATACTGGAGTTCAGATATGCCAGAGAAGCTGTAAAGTCTTTCCTTTAAGTGAAAAGGTGAAAGTTCCCAACTTAATGAGGAAAGAAAACAAATCCTGTGTTGAGGTTACTAAGATCTACATTAAGAGTGGATCCTTTTCTATGAAACTGTGAAAAAGAAAAAGATTCTCACTAGCTGTGCTGTTGTGCCTCAAACTGCTAACGTTTGGCTGCTGTCTTAGTTACTTTTCTTGTTGCTGACACAGATACCTGACACCAAAGTTAAAGGATGAAAGTTTATTTCAGGTCACAGTTTATAGTGATTTCAGCCCATAATCGACTGGCTCCAAGGCAGGGGCCCATGGCAGAGGAGCATCAGAGAGAAGAAACAGTCCATGGCATGACAAGCAGCAGCAGCGAGTTTGCCTTCTTTTGTCCCTTTACACAGTGCTCCATCCAGGCTACAAGCCTATAGATTGCTGCCGCCCATAACCATAATGGGACTTCCATTATCCATACCCTCAATCCCGGTGTCACCCCCTTAACCCTAGCATCACACACCCTAATCCAGCCATTTTCAAAACTCCCCAGCCATGACTGCATAAAGCTTTCGGGGGAGCATCTAGATACAAGCCATAACATTCGCAGTGTATGATAAGTCTTTGTTGAGATGGGAAAGGCCTGAAGTTATAGGGTTCAGTACTCTGTGGTTTCAGGACTCCAGTAGTGGCCCTGGGATGAGAAGGCTCTGGTATGAGGGGGCTGCTACAGTTCCTTGGCCAAGTCGTACCCAGGAGAGAGAGAGACCTGTGACCTCCAGAGAGAGCCTTGGAGTACATCATCCTGACAGCATGACTGTAGGAAGGATTCTAACACTACCCAAAGCCCATTGGCTGCTAGTTAGGGTCAAGAATATACCAGTGAGGGCCAGGGATTTAGCTCAGACGTTCTGCCACCTGCTTCGCAAGCACAAGGACCGGACTTCAATCCCCGGTACCAAAAGAAAAGAATATCCAGTGAATTAACTAGAAAATACAGTTCCAACTCCTAGGAACTTTCCAGAGCCAAGAAGTAAATTGGTCCACCTCATCCACTCCCCTGGGAAAGTTCAATCACTTTCATATGTTTAAGTTAATGTTGTAAAACTGCATACTCCCTTGAATATTACAGGTGATATGTCAATTTTTTGTTAGGATAGTTGTAATAGTACTTCACTTTTTCATCCCTTTTTGACTACTTGGATTAAGCAGTTTTACTGAAGAAGACACAGTGGTCATTTCAAAGGTCTTCATGTAAGTTCTTCACATCTCAGAAATTGGGGGGTGTATTATAAAAATTAACGTTTAAAAATAATTTCAAAAACATTTAGTGGAATCTAAATTTGTAGTGATTTTTATAACCACATCTTTATCTATTTAAAAAAAATACATAAACAACCCTCCTTTAACAGCCAGAATGTTTATATTGCTTCTTTTTTCCCTCTGATCTCATCTTTCTTAAATTATTTTTCTCCTACATTGTATTTTGATGTAATAAACTCATTTGCTTAAAAGTCTTTTACTGGTCACCCCCTCATGCATCTCTAGAATATTCACATATGTGTATGTATATCTGTATAAATTTGGAAACATTTTCTCAGATATGAGTATTAAAAGAAATTTCTCCTAGACTGTTACTGTTTTCACTATAATTAATTCACAATTGACCTAAACAAATAAATATTAATAAATCATTATATCATTAAATCATTCATCAAAACAATTGTTAAATAGATATTGCAATGACATTACAACTTCTAGTGGAATGGGTGGGCTTCTAAAAAGTAGTTTCTAGGGCTGGGGATATAGCTCAGTGGTTCCACCACCTGCCTTGCAAGCATGAGGACTCAAGTTTGATCCCCAGTACCAAAAAAAAAAAAACAACAAAAAAAAACCAAAAAGTAGTTTCTCAATAAATATACAAATAATACCAGTTACTGGAGTAAGAGTTCGGTATCAGTTTTTTTTTCCCTATTTTTCCTTTTTTAGAGAAATAAGCATGAAAAATCATGAACAAATTACATGGGATGGTAGGAATGTTATTCTAGTAATATCCTATAATTCTTTGAATTTTTTTTGCGTACTGTGCCAAAAATGATGACTCAGTTAGGTCCTTCAATTATGTTGAAAGTAAAAAATAGGAAATTATTTGATTTACAAAAGAAATTTTTATTCAACCTCTAGAGGCTTTTTCTGTGTCTGAGAAGTATCCCAAAACAGCTGTACCAAACCTTCTCAAACAATTGTGTACTGAATCTTTTCCCCTTTTATACTTAGATGCAAACCAGTCTTAACTTAGAATGTCCCTTTGAAAGATAATTAAACTGGGATGTGTAAGCATTTGTCATTATCCTTTTAAAATGTGTTTTTGTCAAGACCCTGGAGCTGCTAACGTAGCTCACTCATTAGTCGAAACTGCTGTATATATGTAGTGGACACCAGTTACCCCCACAAGACTAGCTTTCTGTCTCAAGATCTGATACCATTTTCAGTCAATAAATGTGTTATTGGGTATCTTGTGTTGGTTATCTTGTTTTTGAGTTCTAAAATCATTCTTTCATGGATGGGTGGGTGAATGGGTGGATGGGTGGATGGACGCCCGAGGAGGGAGAGAGGACAGGAGGAAGAAAAGGGCACAAAGCCAGCACTGTTTACCTCCTGGCGCCAGTGCTTGCTTTGCTATCACAGGACTATTAGCTCAGTATTGATGGCATCTTTGGGAATAATCAGCCTGAAAGAGACAAAGTCATTACGCAAGAACCATCCTCACTTCCATCCCATTCGTGTGTGCGTGTGTGTCTGTGTATTTGATGTTTTAATATGTAATTGAATTTGGAATCGCTCAAAGCAAGGCCCCAAACACTCCCACTTCTAGCGCTGTACTTCACTCATCTCAGACCCATGCTTACCAAGAAGCCCCCACCGCAGTGCCTGACTCCAGGGGGACTCGTGGATTCTCTCGCTTGCCCTTTGGTAGGTGAGTGGAGCTTTAACAGCTGTAGGGAAGGTGAGAAAGTCTGCCCTTTCAGTATGCAGTGGAGCCGGGAGTGGAAGGAAAGATAGTACTTTAGACCCGTTCTAGGAAAAAAATGTACAAGGGCAAGTTGAGAATCTGATTGTTTATTCCTTTAAGCTGTCAGTGCCTGCAGCCCTTGCAGTCTTGGAGTCGTCTGCTCGAAGACCGTAGCCAATAGGCTCTTTTGCAGAAATACTTGGGGTCTGTGGTGTAGTTCCTCCTTTCTCTGTCCTTGGGAGAGGAAATTTAGGTTGGACAGCCTCCTTT